AATGAATTAATTAAAATTAATTTTCTCTAACGATGTGACCTTACAAATATATGTTGAAATTGGTGTAAAGTTGGACATTTTTCTATACAAAGAAATATTCTAATCTTTCTGACATTTTATCTTATTAATTTTCCAATATTTATAAAAAAAATTTTCAATATTAAATTTCATGTTTAATTTATTTTGAATTCAAACAAATATATATACAATTTCCTTTCCATCTTGTAAGTTAGAAAATTCACGAGTATAATGAGGTATGTCAAAATCCAATATTGAGCTACAAACTTTCCAAAAGTATAGGGTGGTCTAAAAGTCTGTTAACCACTGTCAAGACTAAATTGTTGCCTTATTTTGTAATACATTTTAGCCATTCCTATTCGCGAGTGTATCTGGAACGTACGGTTAACTGACTTTAGAACCATGTATTTAAAAGAAATGCAGCAATCAAGCTGCAGTTGTCTGAGAATATTATATGTGAAGTTACAATATTGAGGCACAAACTGCTCAAATATATATTTAAAATTGTTCACTGTATCGTGTGATCCCTATCAGTCTAATGTACAAAAATAACAGAAAATATAAATATACAGAAGTGTCTATAATCTGTACGAAAGTAAAATTTAGGCAAAGTAGTTTCGTGTAGGTCAAAAGAAAGGTCAAACGTTATTAAAGAACACAGGAAGAAAGTTGCAGGTAGTTAAATATCTCACTCGAGTCAAATCTAACAACAATTTCAGTCAAATTTAAGATAATCTAAACAATTTAAATTGGATTTTATTAAAGAAAAAATGTTAAATTTTAAAGAAAAAGAAAAATAAACAATTAAATTTAATTAACGGACCTGTTTATTGTATAAAATATCAATTTAATTTTATATGTGTGCATTTTATTGTGTCACAAACATTTCTTTAATTTTTATCCAAAACCTTATTACGTCTTATCTGTTAAAAGGGGGTCGGTGATCTTTGACCTCCGACCCTAGGGACGGTTAGTTGAGTGGTATGCTTCATTTTAACCCATTAGAAACGATTGTTTAGCTTTGATATGTGATGGTAAAACAAGGACATCGTGCGTCACGATCGATGTGACGTCAGGGAAAGAGGGACATTTAGTTTAAATTCAAAATTCTGCAATAGAGAAACACCCCCCTAAAAGAACATTATTTTAAAATTCGTTTGGTTTTGCCCATCTTTCATCTGTTTTTTTGGGGGTAGAAACTGAGTTATAGGGTGTACTTCGCGTCCTTGGCCCACATCACTTCTACTGACACGCGTCTAGAACGTCAGAAAACTTTCATTAATAACTTATATCTATATAAATACATCTATATAAGTACTAGGAATATATATTAATTTATAATTTGTTTATTTAATTTCAAAAATATATCGAATTAATAACTAAATAATCGATTTTTCTATTATGATTTCTGTTTAAAATTCATTTGGACACGCGCCATTTAAACGAAACAGGTTCGGATAGGCAAACAGACATGCGAATTTTAATGTTTTTCATGTTTGGTTATATTCTATTTCGAGTATTTATAATTTATATGCTATTTTTATATCTATAAAGATTTATTTTATTTATTTTTAATAAAAATAACAATGTGTTAATAATGAAAATTATAATTGTAAACTGTTGGATAATCTCTTTGTGTTTTGTTGGATTTTATAAATATTCTGTCGAATTTGTAGTTATTCAGTGGATTTTTATACATATTTCATTAAATTTTATGGTTATTCTATTGTTTCATGATATATATCGAATCCTACAAATACTTTATGGATTTCTGTAGATAGATATTCTATAGGATTTTATAGATAATGTTAAGTTTAAATATATCCTCTAGATCCTATCAACATTTATTTTCAATTTTAAAAATATTATTCAGCAAAATATAAGCAGTTCTGTTAGATTTCACACAGAATATCTTAAATTTTGAAGATATTCAACAGAATTTCGTAGCTATATTATTGAATTTCATAAAGTTTAGTTGAATTCTTAAGAATTTTACGAACACAATGGAATTCTGTACCTAATTCTGTTAAGTTCTATGGATTTTATATATATTTATATAGAATTTTATACATATTTTTTTATAAAATTCTATTCTAAGAATGAATTAAGAAGATTATTTTTCAAGTTTTTCAACGGCTTTCTTCATAAAGAAGAGAAAAAATCCTTTATTATGGCACGACTCTCGACATGTTCTTCGTATTAAATTTGTTAAATCTTTTAAATTCTAGACCTTGAACATTGTTCTGGTTGTTGAATGGAATTATAATTTACCTCGAAGCTAGAAGATACGTGTTGTGACATCATCAGAAAACCCCATTCATGAGGATTAACACTCGTAAACAGGATATAACCTTATCAGTTAAAGGACTTGTGGAGAGAAAGGGGAAAAATATAAGAAAATTTTGGAAGAAATTTTAATAAAAATATAATGTATATAAAAGGCTTCTCCTAAGAGAGCAAACATGGCTTTTATATTAAATCCGTTTCTTGATTATAGAGAATGCATCTATGCATTTATAAAAATACTGCATAATACTAGTAAGTATACAGATACTTTTGTTTCGCTTTTTGAATAGATATATAGAATATTGAAAAGTTATATAAGCTACTGTTTAGGTCTTTATTCTAAGTCTTTTCATTGCTTTAAAATTAAATCAAATTCAATAAAATCATATAGAAAAAACAAATTTTTAATTTCTAGTTTCAATATTAATTATTGTGAATTTCAATTCTATTAACTAATATAATAATTTTATATAAATTATGATATTAATTAATGTAAAAGTTAAATTAAATTAAATTAAAAATAAAATTCAATTATATTCTATTATAAACTTGATTTTTATAGAACTGAAATTGAAAAATTCATAAATTTTAATTATATTTTTGAGATATGAAAATAAAATTTATAGGAGCATTGGTTTTGCCTTAATAGTACACACTCTTACGTCATTTTAACGTCATTCTTGTGCTTTTTTTTATAATGAGGAAGGATAAAATGACTTCAAATTGACGTAATAGTGTATATTATTCTGACGAAACGAATGCAACTTATAAATATTTCGATTTTAAATATTAACCTTAAAAAACTTAACTCAAAATTGCTAATTAATTCCTAAATTTTTTTAATAATGAAAAATTAATAATTTGATCTTCAATTTTTTATCATTTTTATTTTTAGGACACAGTAAATAATTATTTTTTTAGTTTTATGATAAAAATTATCTTTATGTTACATAACTTAGAATCTGACTTAATAGATCTGTATTTGATATTGTTATTTATGAGACTTTAACTTAAATTAAATATCGTGATACCTATAATTTAGAATTGATGAACGTCTTCACTTAAAGTTCTTTATTCTTAGAAATTTAATAGGTTTTTTTTATATATGTCAACTTTAAATCGATGATGCTATTTCAATTATGTTTTAATTATAAATAATGTACAATAATTTCAATTTATATTTAAATAATATTAAAATTTAATTAATTTGTTTTTTACGTAAAGTTTCTTGCAAATTAAAATTAAAATAAAAAAATAATTGTGTTATATTGTTTGTTTTTTATTGTCTTCAAATTTATATTTTAAGGTCTTAAAGTACTATATTATTTTTCTAAGTGATAAAAAATTTTATCTAATTATTTTTAAATAAAATATCCTCAAGTTATTTCAATAATTATTAAAATTTTCAGTCTGTACAGTTAATATTTACTTAAAAATTTAAAAAGTTCTCTATTGATTTATTTAAACATTATACATTAAAATTAAATAATTTTTGANAAAAAAAAAAAAAAAAAATCCCGCATGTTTGGTATTATAATATAAATTTATTTTTAAATTTACGTTATTTCTCACTAAAAATTTAATTATAAATTAATGTTATAAATTTATTTTAAATGATAAAATGGTTAAAATATTTTCGTTCAATTTAAGTAGATAATTACAGAATATATCGATTTATAGTTAATTTTTCTCGGAAATTCTAAAAATATAAAGTCAAATTGCTGGATTTTTTAAAAAAAATTAAGATATAATCATTTTAAATAAAGAAAATCAAGAAATATCATCCTCATTCTCATACATTTCAAGTTATTCAGAGAGATGATAATCTGAGCATCATCATCATCTTTTGTTGGAGAAGGAGGAAAATTTTAAAAGATTTTTGGAGTTGTCTCATCACAAAATGTCCCGATTCTAGTTTATTCAGTAAAGCAATATGGTTGCAGTGAGAAAATCTTATTTGCAACTTTATTTTATCGCCTTTAAAATCCCTCGTGACTGGACACCAGGAAACGTTGATAAAAAAAATTACAAAAAAAATAAATAAACAAAAATTGCGCGATGTTAAAGGAAAACAGGGAAAATACCAAAATTATTTGGAAATTTTTTAATAAAATGTGTCAAAATTCTTTTATAATTCCTCAAAAAACAATTAAAAAATCTCAGTTCGTGCCTTTCTAAAGATTGGAATTGGTTATTTAAATATTACAGTGAAAGTTTTAGTAACGTAGAAATTGCTGTTTTCAGTTGTATATGTGAAGAGTATTTACAAATTTATGTAAAAATTTAAAAATGTATGCATTAATTTATGTAAAAATATAAAAACTTGATATATTTTACCTATAAAATTAAGCTGGAAAAGCTTAAATACTTTAGCAAGTACTTAAAATAATTACAAAATTGGAGCATCCAAGTATTACAAAACATTCTCAAACGTTCTAATTTGTATGTATACAACTAGTTGCTGAAGCTTACTCTAGGTGTCACCACTTTAAAATTTAGTATTACTCATAGAATAAACAAAAGATAGTTGAATAATCATATTCTAATATCACCTACTTACTGTAGGGGGAGGGAAGAGTATCTTTAGGTAATTATAGCATACAATGGAGGAGTCTACTCTCTCCCACGCAACATTCGGGTTGGTTATCACGTGGAGCATAATGACGTCATTGAGTGGTATATAAACTCAAGCGCCGACATGATGCTGAACGTGTCCATGGAGTGAACACATGCTAAATTATGGCAAGAGTGTGTAGGTCCTTGTTCTTGCTCTTGTTAACTTTCGTTGCCTTAAGGGGTAGCTCACAAGTCTTGTCATATCATCAGAAAGGTGAGTTCATGTTCTTATTGCATACATTTAAGCTGTGAATAGAGTAATTCCAACTTTACAGAATCATGTTTTAAAGTATTATATACAGTTAATGATGTAGAACGGATTTTAAAGCTTAAAATGAGAAAGTTTTAATTGAAAAATTAAATATTTTCGTTTATTACGCATAAAATCGTGTTTATTCTTTGTAATTTAAAGAAATTTAAAAATTTTGTGGCGATTAAAATTTAAAACAAGTTTAATTAAGAGGAAGTTTGAGGTTTAAAGTTGGCTTCACTGCAAGGTTAGCGAATCTTGCAGTGAAGCCGATATTTCATTTTAAAATATTTATAATCATATTTAAATTAAGCTTAATGTAAAATAAATGTAATTGCCATTGTTTATATATATATTCTATAAGAAAATAAGTTTTAAACGCTCTTATAATTATAGTTATTTGTAAATTAGTGATTATAAATAGAAATTTGCATTATACGAAGTAGATTTTAAAGAATAATGCCTTAAAAGTAGGGAGATGACCGCAAAGTCGTGTGTGGTATCGCTTAGGTGGTATCCATTATGACACATAAATGGAAAATAGGTCAAAGGCCAAGACCCAAAAGTATTTGAAATTATTTTTTAAAGTATAGATAAATAATTTTTTAAAAAAAAAATTGCTATCAAAATCGTCTTTGATATTCTCCAAAATCAAATTTGAAAAAATCATAGAATTCAATTTAATAAAATGCTCACAATTTTCGTTTAAAGTTTAAACTTGTCTGGATAGGTCAAGGATAATGTGGAGGTTAAAAGTCAAGGGGAAAAGGGGAAAAATATGAATAAAAGAGAGAAAAATACCGGTATTAAACGAGAACTGTGGGCGTTTTATCCTGTTTAAATGCAGACGGAAGCAGTAAATGTCGAATTCTAAATTGAGAATCTCTCCTCCTAACCACTTACACCTTTTTATTGAGGTTAGGAGGCCTATAAACACCTGAGTAGAACGACTAGATAAGAACTTATAACTGTATTTTTCTGTATTTTATGTCTATTTTAGTATTACAACAACATCATTCCTTTCATTTTTTGAGATTTATACCCCAAAAACAGTAGCTTCTTTGATGTTTTTATGGCCTTCTTGGATACTCAAAACCATTTTTTTCCCTTCTTACCTTCACGTTATAAATGGTGTCGTGTGCTAAAAACTCACCTTTTATCCTCTTACCTGGACATCTAGGTAAGAGTCTAAAGTAAATTAGTCCGGTTTCTGACGTCAAAATAGATACTGAATTTATATTAAATTCATTTTTTATTGTTTCTTTTGTATTGAAAAGGGGAAATAATTAAGAAAATTGACTTAATTTCATAAAAGAATTTCATTAAAATACTTAAAATTGATCCACTTAATCTCAAAATTAGGCCTTTAACATTAATCCAAATTACATTAATTGGGAATTTCATAAAAATCTATACAAAGTTTATGCATTAAATTTGAAAGTATAATTAACAATTAATAAACTTTGTTTCAAGTTTAATGAAAATTATCTCAGTAATTCGATGTTAATTAGTTTATAATTACCTTTTCATCAATCAGGTTTATGATAATTATAGAATTTCATAATGATTTTTCTTTATCATATTCTACGTCTTATCCTAGTTTTTCTTCCTCTTGTAAGTATTATTTAGCTCATTATATCGCTTTTAAAGTGTCGAAACCATTTTTAAAATGCTAAATAATGTATTTTAAACTATTTAAAATTCAAAAAAAATATTAAAAAACTGGATTTCTTCTTAACTATCTCGTGGTATGTAACCTCGTTCTTTAAACTTAAATAACTAAAAAATATGGTGAATCTTCCAGTCCAACCTAATTCTTCATTTCAAATCTAAAGAAAATAAATAAAATAATATATAAATTATCTTTAAAAATCTACATTTTGATATATTAAACTTTAATTTTGCAGATATACAAGAGAGATCTCATGAAAGTCTACATCAAGTAAGTATCAAATTGAATTAATATTATTTTATTAAAATTACATAATTAATTAATATTATTCTAAAGATTTTCTTTAATAATTTTTGCATATTTTTTTAGGAAGAAAAATATTCAATCAATAGAGTTAAAAGAAGAACAGAAGGAGCAGAAGGAGGATTAGAGAGCTTCTTGGAGCATCTTGTTAAATTGGGTTTAAATAAAATATGTCGTTTACTCAGAATTGCTCAAATTGATGATATTTTATTGTCAACAGGTAAATTTTATCATTTTTAGAATTCGTTTTATGATAAAATTGTAATTTTAGATAGTACGAGATATTTCTCTAACACGCAATATGAATGTAAGATGAACGTAGGATGAACTAGCAACATAGAAGCCTAGTTACATCTTTAAATTGTAAAAATTCATTTATAAAGTTTTAAATTCTAAAAAAACATTACGATATCGTGTAAAGAATAATAATTTTTTTTACGTAATTCAAGCTTTTGTTCTCTTTTTCTTGGGTGTTGTCCGGAAGTTTCATGTATAGAGGGAGGTCTTTTATAACTAATTCATTGTTTTTCCACCTTTAAAGATTATTCGTGATGCTTATTGAATATTAAAACGAATATTCATTTGTTTTACTTTCAGGAGCATTCACTCTCTTCGCTCCGACAGATGAAGCTTTTGCTCTATTACCTGGGGGTGCTTTAGATGAAATCGAAAGAAATCCAGAAAAGTTAAAGGAATTCTTATTATATCATATCATTCCTGGACAAGTTTCTTCTTCCCAATTTCAAAATGATGTCACCATGTCCTCTCTGCAGGGTATGCCACTACGCTTCAATGTTTACATTACCGAAGGTCGTCAGGTATGTCGCAGACTGTCTTTAACAGATTTACTCCCTATTTATATCTTATAATTTATGATTTATTCGTGTATTTTTCTGTAGACTTATTCTGTATCTGGAGGTCAAATTGTATCTTCTGATCATATACATCAAAATAGCATCGTACATAAGATCGATAGGGTCTTATATCCAATTCCGAGTACAGATGTACTTGGTCAAACAAAGTGGGCTTATGATAAATTTTATCGACTCATAGTTGCTGCTGGTTTAGACAGAAGGCTTTCTGGTATATCATTTTTTAAATTTATAACAAAAATGTTTTAAAATAATTAAATATTTTAACGAAAATAACGTGATTTGTAGATGGAACATATACTGTATTCGTTCCTAATGATGATGCGTTTAAGAGTTTATCACCTGTTGTACAAGAAGCATTACTAAAAAATACAACTTTATTACAAAGTAGGTGAACTTATAACAACAAAAACATAAAAATGTCATTAAATTTGTTCTTAAAAATATAATATTCTTACACAGATATCCTTCTGAATCATATCATCATCGGTAGCGTGTATACAACGGCACTTTACGATGGTTTAACATTGAAATCATTAGGAGGAATGCCTTTAAAATTTAATTTAAGGCGAGGTAAGCGATAAAATAATCTTAATTTACTTTAATTTAATTTTCTCTTTAATTAATTTAATAAAATAATTGGCATGAAAGCAAGATACTTGATAGTAATTGATAAAAATCCTGCATATTCATCATATCAGGATACAATAATATTAATTTAAAGTTTATAATATTCTTTATAATCCCAGGTTTGATATTAGTTAATGGAATTCCTATTGTGGAACCCGATGTACCCGTCATGAATGGTGCAATCCACGTCGTTAACAGAGTTTTAGCATCCCGAGAAATTTTGGATGATTGTCATTGCTTAAGTATTGATTCAAGAACTCCACAATCGAGCGAAATACAGGAACCATTATATCCTCCGGGTCCAAAAAAACCATTTGTAACTAGTAAACCCATTCGTACATATCCTACAAAAACTACACGGGATCATACTAGACGACCAATACCTACTCGTCCACAAAGACCTGATTATGATCATCAAGCTTCCGTTCCAGGTGAACCATCCCCGGGTTATCCATTTCATACACCGAGAGGACCATCGTTTCAGACACACAGAAGTGAAATTCCTTATGGACAAAGAATGGTTACTAAACCCTATCCACAAGGTTCTCGTCACCAGTTTACTACTCATCAACCTGTTAAAGCAACTCATCGTACTCCTGCCCCAACTAAAACTCAAACCCGTCCATCTTGGAGACGGCCACCTCCCCAACCTCAAGCTGAACCTCCTAGTCCCCCCAGAAGGCCTCCGTCTCAACGTAGACCACCTCAACCACAGGCAGAACCTGATACTCCAAGAAGACTACCAACTCCATCTTATCGACCAGAGCCATCAAAACCATTNGCTGTATTATCATAAACTTTATTATGACTTGCAATTTGCATAGAAACAATTTTAATATAATTTGATAATTTTAATTGATTATATAAGAAATTCTCAGTAAAATATTAATTTAAAGTTTATAATATTCTTTATAATCCCAGGTTTGATATTAGTTAATGGAATTCCTATTGTGGAACCCGATGTACCCGTCATGAATGGTGCAATCCACGTCGTTAACAGAGTTTTAGCATCCCGAGAAATTTTGGATGATTGTCATTGCTTAAGTATTGATTCAAGAACTCCACAATCGAGCGAAATACAGGAACCATTATATCCTCCGGGTCCAAAAAAACCATTTGTAACTAGTAAACCCATTCGTACATATCCTACGAAAACTACACGGGATCATACTAGACGACCAATACCTACTCGTCCACAAAGACCTGATTATGATCATCAAGCTTCCGTTCCAGGTGAACCATCCCCGGGTTATCCATTTCATACACCGAGAGGACCATCGTTTCAGACACACAGAAGTGAAATTCCTTATGGACAAAGAATGGTTACTAAACCCTATCCACAAGGTTCTCGTCACCAGTTTACTACTCATCAACCTGTTAAAGCAACTCATCGTACTCCTGCCCCAACTAAAACTCAAACCCGTCCATCTTGGAGACGGCCACCTCCCCAACCTCAAGCTGAACCTCCTAGTCCCCCCAGAAGGCCTCCGTCTCAACGTAGACCACCTCAACCACAGGCAGAACCTGATACTCCAAGAAGACTACCAACTCCATCTTATCGACCAGAGCCATCAAAACCATTAGATCAAAAGCAAACTGGCAAAACACCATATTATCCTGGTGGAACTTCAAGACCTGGAAAAATTGGTAGACCCGATAAAGACGGGTTCCAGGAATTACCTGGAAAATTTGGAAAGCCTGCAATACCTGGACATCCTGATTTCAGATCTGGGCAGCCGGGCTCATTCGGAAAACCTGGACAATTCGGAAAGCCAGGATATCCAGGATTTTCAGGGGATTCTGATCGATTTACAGGAAGACCTGGATATCCAGGAGCTGGTCAAACAGTGCCAAGTCATGATCGTCCTACTTCAGATTTTCCAATAAAGGAAGCAAAACCAACTCCAAAATTTTCTCAACCGGGATATACAAGAGTACCTGATCAAAGAACTGGATTTCCAGAAAGACCTGGACCACAAATTGAAATATTCCCAGGAGGTCAGCAAGTTACCGGATTTCCTAGGCCTGAACATGACGCCAGATTTCCTAGACCTGGACAAGATGCTGGATTCACTAGACCTGGACAAATTCCATTTCCTGGAAGGCCCCAATATCCAGATACAAGATTCCCAGACAGACCCGAACAACCAAGACCAGATACAAGATTCCCAGACAGACCCGAACAACCAAGACCAGATACACGATTCCCAGACAGACACGAACAACCAAGACCAGAAATAAAATTTCCAGAAAGGATAGGATCAGAACAACAAGCAGGAATCCCGGAAAAACCTGGATACCAAAGACCTGAAGATCAGCGATCTGGCATTCCACAAAGACCTGTACAAGAAAGACCTGATTTTCGAAGACCAGAGACACCTGGACAACAGAGACCAGGATTTCAAGAACCAGAAATTAGTAGACCTGGAACTGGATTTTCGATAATACCAGGTCAACATTTGGGCCCATCTCCACAACAGCCACAAATTGATTCTCAAAAAACACCTCAAACTACACCTTATCAACCTGAACAATCAAAACCACTAGATCAACAACAAACACCCAAAACAATTCCACATTTTCCTGCTGGAACTTCACGACCTGGTACACCAAGTATAGCCGGAAGAGATGATTCTCAGGGATTTCCTGGAAAATCAGGCGAACCTTCTACAATTCAACAACCTGAAATTAGACCCGAGCAACCAGGAACATGGGGAATCTCACCCGGTTCTAGATTTGACCGACCAGAAACAACTTTTAGACCTGGTCAACCGGGAACATGGGATCGCCAGCCAGGTTTTACCCCCGGTCAACACGATATAACTAGGTTTCCGAGTACACCCAGCAGACCATCACCTGTAGATTCCTCCGTAAAAGGAAGAGAACCAACATCCAGACCTTCACCTCAAGTTGAAATAGTACAAACCTTATCAATTTTCGATATTCTTCAAAGACCCGAATTAGTATTTAAAAATCAACCTTTCAGTTTATCAATAATTTACGAATTATTCAGACAAGTTGGACTTTTTGAAACCTTACGACCAGGTAGAAGACATTTTCAATATAATTTTAAGTAGTAACCAAACGAAATATCTCTAAATATATACATTTTTTTAATTATAGGTCCCAAGATTATATTTTTCCCAACTGATGAAGCCATAAATTCTCTACCAGAGGGAACACTACAACAATTAAGAGATGATCCTGATTTGCTCCATCAAATTCTTTTATACCATGTCATAACTGTGCCACCACCACCAGGTAAACCTGATACAACATACCCTGTAAGAACAGCTCAAGGAATACCAATTTTAATCAGATATGGACCCCAAGGACAAGTGAGAATCAATATACTTGAATTGCAAACTGAAACTTGACTGCAATTACAATTATTTTTTCATGTCTTTCTCTATACAGATTGTTCAGGTGGATGGAGCAGATGTCATATCTTCAACTAAAACAGATGATGACTACATAATATATGTAATAACAAAATTGTTAAGTCCATTACCTAAACCTTCAATCAACTCCTACTTAAATGACAGACGAGATATTTATAGATTCTTCAGTTATTTAGTAAAATATCGTCTAGATGACATTATTAAAGGTACGATAAGGCATATTTATTCTAATTAAATTTTTAATTACTTTATTAAACAAAATGTATGAATTTTTTGATAGGTCCAGAATTGTATACACTATTTTTGCCAGTTGATGATGCCTTCCAGCAAATTCCTCGAGAACAATTAGAAATAATCTTAAACAACAAAACATTAATTGAACGTAAGCTTGAAATTTTAAATTTTATTTAGTAAATAAGATTCCTAGAAAAGTTCTAAACATATCAATTTAAGAATTAATTCAGGAAAGCTTTGATCTTATTCTTAAAGCTTTGATTTAATAACAAAGTAAATTAATCGTATACAAAGATTTTTATGAGTTTAATCAAAAAATTAATTTTATGAATTTCTTAGCTAAAATAATCTTATTTCCCTATTTTTCATTCATGATATAATTGTATTTTAGTGTATTAATTAAGGCTTTGTCCTATCAAAGTCTTAATTAAACACTAAAATTCTGTTTACAAGACTGACTATATAATTTTATTCTATTTTACAAACTTTATAAACGTTATCGGAATAAGAATATATGACTAATAATGAAACGTTTATGAAATATCCGAATTTACCCACTTGGTAACACGAGTATTATCTTTGCACCATATCATAAAATGAAAAATAATTTTGACATAAATAACATATTTATCTGTAGACAATAATATAAATATTATAATAGATTCACTAAGCATTTTTTGGTTTGTTTGGCCTTGAATTTATCTTTACAACTCGCTTGCAGTTTCAGCTCTGGATTTCCATGTCAAACAGGATACCATTACTCAACAGGACTTATTATACCTCATACACATGCATGACATCAAACTTGGAAATATACATAAAGACATTTAACCTAGTTAATAAGCAATCTCAAAGACTTACTCATGGTATTTGGGTTAGATAAATGAAAAAAATATATATAATAAATCAAATGATGAATAAACAGATTGAGGGATTTCAACTCCAAAATGGAGTCTCAATTGGGTTCAAGGAGAAAGAAATAATTATCTTTATTCTGTATCTCTGGATAGTAAATTATATTCAAATTATGATGTATATATACAAGAATTATTTAATAATTATTTATTGATCCACTTGTGTCAAAATTCATCTGCTATTTCTGTATTTATGGTTATTTATGACAATAAACCTAAAAGTTTGAATAAACAAGGAAATATTTTCAAAACCATTGCAACTTAAATTGTTTTATGTCTACATTACATAAATAACATCAAAACAGATATTTTAAGTGGTTAAAGACGAGAGAGACCCCGACATATCCGGTATAAATCATCCATGAAAAATTCCTGGGCTTCATTTCATTCATTAATTTAATTTTTAAAAAATGTTAATAAAATAAGACGAACTTTGACATTAGGAAGTTATTATTAATCATAAAATNGCAAAATGATAAGGAAATTCTTCAGTTTTTCAATGTTAGAGTTAAGAGATAATTTTAACTTTACATGAAAGAATAGCAACAAAAGTTGGAATAAATGAAAAATATAACCCATATACCATGATGAAATTTATAACTTCGTCTGAAATTTAACAAAATGGCGTCAATTATAAAGAAATTCGCGAAAATCTTGAACCATTTTCTATCAGTTTCCTTTTATAATTTTCTTTTCTTTTTGTTTTTCAGAATTTCTTCTCAATCACATAGTTTCGGGAGTTTATTATACAACAGATATCAGGCCTGGATTTGTTCTAACCGGATTAAGAGGAAGAGATATTCGATTCCAGATTTCTCCAGGTACTGTACTGTACATTAAATAACTTAAATATTTAATCAGCAGAATGAATTCTTGATGAACAATAAATATAATAGATATAATCTTCTCTTTCTAGATGGAGTTATAAAAGTTAACAATGTAGACGTTGTTGAACCTGATATAGTAACCGGAAATGGTGTCATTCATGTAGTAGATGGTCTTATTTATAGGCCTGAAATTGGATTTGTACCTCAAACAGTCACAGGTATATAATTTAAATTGATCATTTATTATTTATTGATTATTACAATTAATGACAAAATAAATAATGCTTTCCAGACACCTCAATTATAACTGGTGACGTTCAACAACCAGTAGAACCTTCTTTTGAAACCGTTCAACAACCGGTAGAACCTTCTTTTGAAACCACATTTGAGCCAGGTCAACTTCCGGAGACATCTATCATTCAAATACCAGGTCTGTCTGATAGACCGTTTCCAGTACAAAGCAAACCACAAGCCAAACACGAAGTTGATCTCACGATAGTTGACGTCCTTCAAAGGCCAAGTTCTGTTTTTGTTAACCAACCATTCAGCCTTAACGTAATTTACGAACTCTTCCAGAGAGCAGGAATCATAAATATCTTATCAAAAACAGGTAATTTTTATAAATTATTAAAAAGATTTAAATAATATATGTTTATTAAATGATAATATTTAATATTTCCAGGTCCATTTACTGTTTTCCTCCCCATTGACAAGTCTCTAACTGGACCGGAATTTTACGAAATTCGTAACAATCCTGAACGTCTTCGTGAAGTCCTGTTGTACCATATTATCACTGCAACTTTACCACCAACTGATAGTCGTACCACTTATATGGTAACTACTGCTGGTGGAAAACCAGTGCTGCTCAGTTACGATGATCAAGGAAATGTAAGTATCTTAAAAATCATTAAACATATTTTGGAGTATTTAATTGCTACAAAGAAAAAATGGCATTGAAGTGGTACTAAGATAATTACATTTTTAAGGTCGTGTTAGTGGATGGTGTAGAAGTAATAACATCAGTTGTAGGCAAAAATGGATTAATATACATAATTTCTAAACCACTTCTTCCACTTCCTAAAGCATCTATAGTTGAATATTTCCGTAGTAGACAGGATCTAACTCAAATTTTGAAATACCTCATACAAGCTAGGATTGAACGTACCTTCCAAGGTATGTAAAATCTGAAAACTTCATTTTACATTATTACTTTATATATATGGCAAGATTTTAAGAATAAACTTGTATTAATTTCAGGCCCAGATCCATTTACATTCTTTGTTCCATCAGATGAAGCTTTTAACAAGCTTCCTCAACAGGAGCTTCAAAGGATTATCAGCAATAGAACTATACTAGAACGTAAGTTATTTTAAATTACTCAATGTAATTTAAAATAACTAACTCGTGAAAACTATTATGAAATTGCTTATTTTAAAATATTATTCTTTATTTTCTAGATTTTATTATGAACCATGTTGTATCTGGCATCCATTACACTAAAGAATTGATGCCAAATTTAATTCTACCAACTCCACGTGGTTCCATTCTTAGAATTGATCATGAAGGTAAATAAAACTCCAGGAATCATTTAAAAAACATGAAAAATCTTAATAATATTTTATGGAGAAGCTTACATTCTAGTAAAATTAAATTAAATTTATTAAATAATACGTTTTAAAACATTGCTCGCGTTATAATAAGCCCCTTTTTCCTATTAAAATAATTGTTTTTTAATATAATAATATTTAAAAAATTCTAAATATATTAAAAGTCTAATTAAAACCCTTAAAAATCCTTAATTTAAACACATTATAAAAATCCCAAAAATTATATTTCCGACTTCTTAGGAGACAGAATAACAGTAAATGATGCAAACATAATTGAGGGTGATATCACGACAGGAACAGGAGTTGTTCACATCATTGATAAAGTCATAACTTCCCCTTCACAGGAAATAATAACTGACGATAGAGAACCTGTACAAAGTGTAATTGTGGGTGAGTCAAGAGAAGCGTTAAAAACATCTTTAAAAATTTCTAATGGAAATTCATAAAAATACACATTAATAATATCTTAATACATTGTTGTTTCGTGACGAAAATCTAATTAATTTCATGGAATTTTCTATAATTAGTTCCTCCAAGTGGTGATTTGATTAGCTCCAATGTAGTGGAATTAGCTAAAGGAATGGGTCTCAATAAATTTGTACATTGGCTCATCCAAACAGACTTAATCAAAGTTGTTCAAGATGGAAGTAAGAACTTTTTCAAATTGTCATGCCATTTTGATAAATTTCTCTTTCATTTTTACTGAATATTCTTTTATTTTATAGATCGATACACGATCTTTGCTCCTACTGACGAAGCTATAGATTCTTTGCCAGGACTTGAAGCAATTGAGAAAGATCCAGATCAGTTGAGAATCATCTTAAAATATCATATTATACCACTTTACATTCAGACAGGTCAGATAGAAAACGAAAAAAGAGTAAAAACACTACTAGAGGGAAAGGAAATCAGATTTAATATTTATCAAAATGGACGAGTATGTTTATCTGAGTTTCAATATGCTGTAAATTAATTCCCATTACATTTTGATATATAATAAATTTGTAATTAATATTTATTTTCAGGTGTATACAGCTAGCGGTGCACCTTTTGCACCCAGTAATAATCCTGGAAATGTTTTGATAGCTGTAGTAGATAGGGTCCTCTTCCCTCCTCAAGGAGACACGTTTACCACTCTAACGAAATTACCAATACTTGGAGATTTGAAGAAAGCTGTAGAAAGGGTAGCTTTAGATGAAGATTTAAGAGGTTGGGATTTGAAATTCTAACAAAAATTTTATGTTTTTGCACCCAAAAAAGTAAAGAAAATATGCATTGAATATTTTTTAATCATTAGGTGAAGGACCTTTCACATTCTTTGCTCCAAGTGATAAAGCATTCGAGAATTTATCTTTAGAAGAAAGGCAAAGACTTCTGAACAATCCTCAATCACTCTTAAGTAATTACCTTTGAAATAATTAAAAAAAAAATTATATATTGTTGAATTTATTATAATTTTCTAAATTTTTAGATCTGCTAAAACGTCATTTAGTAAGAGGGCGTACAATATATACAAGCGGTGTTTCAGAAGGAATGACACTAAGATCAGAAGCAGGTGATGATTTAACAGTAACACTCAAGCCAAGTGAGTTAAGCTTCATTCTTTAAAAAATTCCTATTTAAAGCAATATATAATTATAAAATTCTTTCCAACAGCTTGCATTGCCATCGATGGAGTTAATGTCGCATTCCCAGACATCAGCACCACCAATGGTGTCATCCACGTGGTCGACCACTTTTTGTAAATGTGAAATATTTTGCTTTTTAAGCACGTCACACCATCGGAAAGAAAAAAAAAAAACATAATGGCAGTAATAGTGAGAACAATGGACTGAATTTATATTTTATAAATATTTTCCTTTCAAGAAGACCATCAAGCATTGTCAACTACTATGTTACTGTCAAAGTCATATTTTAAAATTAGTTTTATATATTCCACTATTTAAAAGCCAAATTTTATAAATAAAAAAAAATTAAATATTTCGTGAAAAATTTTAAAGTAATTAAACGTTTTTTAATTATAATAAAGCTTTTTAATAGTGTAATATATATAAAGTAAAATATCAAAATATTCGTGGAGAGAAATTTAGAGAAAAATAAAAAAGAAAAAATTTAATATAAACGTTTCAGCTATTATTTCTTATGTTTTCATTTTTTAATTGTAATTTTAAAAATACAGAGTGGCCCGAAAATCAGTTAACATTATAAAATAAATTGCTACTTTATTCGAATATTTTATTACTCACGAATTATTTGCGAAATATACGGTTAACAGACTTTTGATCAACCTACATTTACAAAATTGAAAAAATTCTTACAATGTTGTCTTTTGGGCCAACTTCTATATTTTTCAAAATGTATTTATTAAATACGTGCATTTTTTACCGAGTCATAAAACTGAATTAGAAGATAATTCATCGTTATCAACAACATTATTCTTCTAAGTACTGTATTTGAGCCAAAGGCCCTTTAAGGTCTTGCAGAATTTTCTTTTCATCGTTTCATACGAATGACCATTGTTCTAGATCAGGAATGGCGAACCTTTTTGAGCCCATGAGCCATATAATAAGCTTGAAAGATGTTTATGCATAACAAAGACTTCGGATAACGATATTTAAATAAATTAAACGAATATGATTTAATTAGAATAAATGTAAAAACCATGATTGAAATAGGATAATCGAGTGATTGAAAACGTCAGATGATAAATCGAAATCTTATGATAAGTTACGTGCCAGATGATTTATCCTTAAGTGCAACTTTGGGCAAGCGTGCCAAAGGTTCGCCATCCCTGGTCTAGATAGATCCTTTTAATTGATATTTGAGTATTTTCCTAGTTTTCTATTCTATGATAGCTGTATATTAGTCAATCTTTGCTCTTATTTGTAGCTGCTAAAGTACTTCATCATTGAGTTTACGGTCTTTCTTATACCGTATCCTGCGATTCTTCTCAAATGAAATGATTGAAAACGTTTGAAATAGAATAATTAGAATGACAAAGTTCCAATTTAAAATGTTACAAAATCTTAAATTATTATGAAAATAATTTAGCAATTATAAAAATTTGATCTGTTCAATGATATTTGTTATATAATCTAAAAATTCTAAAAAATCATACATAGTAGTTACAGTATTTGATAATTACATCTTCCAATTTGTTTGAAGTTGTTTTCTTGAAATCCTTAAAGCCTTAAACTTTTATTACTGTTTTCGATATTTAAGTTATTATCGAACAACCGGATAAAGATATTTGACAACTTTTTATTTCCCCGTGTTGAAACAGAGGGAAAGTATGGCGATCAGTTAAAAGATGACACCTTAAAGATTTATATATTTGAACTCAGGGCACCTTGAAACGTCGAGAAATGCTTTAAAAAAGAAAAAAAACAAAGTTTTTTTTCCTGTGTGTGTGTGTTTTTTTGTGTGGGGGCACGATTTTGTTCACCCATTTTAAAGCCTAATAACTCCTGTGTCTTTTGTCTAAAATTTCTGAAATTTTGCAGAGAGGTTTGCAGAGAGAATGCCTGTAATACACATATTAGAGGCATTGATGCTGCTAAATTTTGTTGATTAAAGATCAAGAGGTAGGAAGATATCGGGGGGGGGTCAGTTGTCATATATCGGAGTGGAGACGGACTAAATAAAGATTTTATTCGTTATTAGCATTTGCAATTTTTTTTAAAACTTATCTCTACCCTTAAAATTAAGCTTTTTGCCTTTTTATAATAATTAATAATATACAAGTTTTTAAAATAAAATCTCATAACAGATGGGATTACACACAATTTTAAAGTTTGACAGAAAATTACACAACTATTTGCTGCATATTTATTAGTACAAAAAGCTTTTTAGTAAGCTTTTTTACTTTCAGTTTTCAATTAATTGTAATACATTCTGGCTCGCTCTGGAGACCTGTATCGAATCGGGCCCCGTCCCCCTCACCCAGTCGTACCATTGTGGGCCTGGCCGAACCCGTAATGGGCTTGCTAAAAAGGACGTCGGCTCTTAGTACCCACGGGCGAAAAGAGTTTTTAAAACAATACATTTTGATGGCCTTTTTTGAATCTAACAACTAGCAAGTTAAAAATTAAGAAATATTTATCAGCTCTTATCACAAGAAGCTAGTAGGGCCTCTCATTTACTGAGACCTCACAAATATTTTTGTTTAAAATACCCATTCCATTGTTTTTCGTGTGTTTTAAGGAAAAAAAATCGTTATTTTTGTTAAATTTTATTATTTAAAAATATAATAATATTTTATAATTGTTTTTTTTTCTTAATGCACAGAGGACTAAAAAAAGATAAATGGCTGGAGTCTCTCGACTTCTAAGAAAACCCCAATATTTACTGTATGATTTTCTGCAATTTTATTCATATTAAGAAAAATATGGAAACATTAAATATATCAGAAACAAAAAACTTACATTTTTTAAAAATATATTCACATCAATTAATATACAAAAAAAAATCTGAGATGACACTATTCTAGTGCTGCCATCTAACGATAGAATGGGTTATTATATATTATTATATATATTATTATATATTATTATTAAGTTACAAAATATAACATAATAATAAAATATTTGTTTTATTTTAGCTCGAATAATAATTTTATTAATTATTAATAATAATAGAAAGATGAATATAAAATTTATAAATTAATTGTATAATTTTCGTTTGTTTTAAAAAAATAAATACACCATTCATTTTTACGTATCCGTCTGTTTGTCTATCCGTTCTGAATCTTATCAGACTTATAGGATACAAAAGGTTATTTTAACTTCATCCAAACTTCCAACCTTAGATACTGTATTTCAACTGTCTTTAGGCTTATCCTTGTTTTTCTACCTTCTCTGTCTTACTTTAATTAGAGTAGTAATTGGGTCGTAAAAGCCGAAGGGCCGAGCAAGTATTGTTTATAGTCACGCTATTAAGTAAATGATCTGAATATAATTATATGAATTAGTTAAAACGTTTTAAATTAAAATTCATTAGTTTCTTTAATCAGATATCAATATATCAATATCGAGGATTTCTCAATATCGGTATATTTAGGGAAAAAATGAAGTCTAATTAGAATTTTATAAGATCCAATAGGAATATTTATTTTACTTTTAGGAATTGATTGAGTAGAAGAATATGTTTCGAAAATCGACAGAGGAGTATAGCATATGACCATAAGTTTTCCATCAAATTCTAATTTTTTTACCATTTCTTTTTCTGTGCCAAGGACTCTTTTTGCAGTCAAGTGATGCTCCAGGACTCTTCGTCGGAATAGGTTTAAATGCACAAAATAAAATGCAAAGGAAACCGATCTGACAATTTCAAGAGTACTAATTATATTACTGTGGTTTGTTTCCTACCTTCATTGTTAAAGGAAATGCTTAATTTCAGTTACAAGTTAGTGAAAGTAAAGATGTAATTTTTCTCGCTTCAAGATCACCTAAAATCTGTTCCTCGAGTCACGAACTCCAGAAGGTCCTGAATTCGAAGTTAATTCTGCTATCAGGTACGATTATATAACAGAAGAGCCTCTTTCGTTAAATAATCTTACAATTTTAAATTCTCAGAAGACATTTACTTCCAATCTTATCCTCAATTTCTCTTAAACCCTTCTACGTCACAGAACATATCAATATAAAGAAAACCGATACGATAACAAAACTAAATTTTTAAATTTTATTTTAAAATCTAAGTATGAAAGACCCAAATTCTATTATTTATATTTAACCATTTTTTTTAGTATCTGACGTCCCTTCTGGAGCACCTCCTCACTTATAATAGCATTTCCTTTATGTTAGGTTTTCGGTGAAGACATTATCTGAAAAGGATACGTTGAATTACGAATAAAGCGCTTTAGGCTTTCACTTTCTTTTGCCTTTACTTAATGTCTTTCCGGATCTCACGTTATACAATGAAGTTAAGAAAAAGATATAACATACCTCAAGGTAGAAAAACGACGTAACAGGTAAACGGAAATGACGTCATAAGCAAAAATGTGGCCAAACAGGATTATCATAATAACAGAATGGGTGTTCAGGAGCTCTTTTAGAAGAAACTATTGGGCAAAACTTCAAATTTGGTAAACAGGCGGTTTAGATTTTCGGGAAAAGAATTTTACTTTAAAATTCAGCCGCCGGGGCGAAATTTGGCGCTGTTGTCCCCTAATGTGTATATTACGTACGTTTTATAACAAATTTCGGATATTAAAGGAGTAGGATATTAAAGGCACAACGTTCTTTCAGTTCTACAGGTGGAACAGTATTGATAATTGTGCATGCCTAATTGTACGGACAGCAGGTTTCTCTATGGTGGCTGAATTTTGAAGTAAAATTTATTCCCGAAAATTGGAATCCTACTCAAGACAGTTTGTATACCAAATTTGGTTGAGATTTTCCCAATACAGATATACAGGATGATCAAAATTAGAGTAGCCGTTTATATCTCTCTGTAGTTCTTTCTACAGAGAGCTGTAAACGGCTACTCTAATTTTGATCATCCTGTATATCTGTTCATATGAAGATGATAGCATTAAATAAAATTTTTATTTTATTTCATAAAATTATAATGATGTTTTTGACGAAAAATAAAAAATCATCTCAAAAATCTAGTTTTAAAGATGCAAAAAGAGAGATTTAAACAAATAAAAAAATCTAAAAATAGTTATTTATTTATTTTTTTAAAAAGTTAGTAGATAATAAACTCAATTTATTTATAAATTATTTTTTAAATTTTAAAATTCTTTATTAAATTATTATTTTACAATTTTATTTAAAAACAGTTATAAATGTATTACAT